TACCTTTGATTGCCACCTACCCGAGAATCTAATTCAGACCGCATTACCATTTATACAGTGCATCTATTCTACCCCTGTCTCTGGTAACCCGCTGATGTTCCTTGTGGGCAATTTAAACGAACAGAGGAAGAGGATCGATTGAACTCGTCTCGATCAATAATTTTTGCGACACTTTTTCGGCACTACATCTGTGTGGAATACCTGTCCCCACAAAGTAATTACTTCAGTGGAACTACATTAAAGTTAAGGTTGGTACTGCTAAGTGAAGCGCTTCTTTGTTCCACTTAGAAATGCCAAGGTACGATGATTTGGGTCGTGGTGATGACTTGTGCGCACCCTTTCCTCGTAATGTCATTGCCTCACGTTAGCGATTTTAAGAATCGACGGTTCCAAAGATATACACAAAATAGCGATCATACTAGGGTTTTAAAAATTAACATTAGCGTTGTTAGTAACTTGCTGCTTGTTGAGACAACATTCAAACGGTATTTCAAAGTGAGCTGGAAGCATTCCAGCAGACAAAAAGATTTTTATGAGAAGTAATTATAATTGCGTGCAAGCGTGTCATATACAAGCACCTAGCTCTTTTACCAAATGGCGAACCTTTTAAATTTTGGTTACCGAAACTGCAGTTAGTAGAACAGTTAGTGAAAAGACAGCACAACGAGGTGTGCACAATTGATCAGTCGCTTGCCAAACGTAGGGCATTAGGTCTTTACAGTTCGTATGTGTATATAAAATGTGACTGTTCAAAAATTGGAAGTCACCACAGATCAGCAGAGAAAATAGAGGCGACTTACTTCACACCTAGATAAATGGAAAGATAAATACACATCTTAGTTATGGTAGATAGGACCTTACATAATGAACTACTGGAATGACATTTTCCCCTTTGTCAAATCAATGCGCTCCCGCCGAACTTTAGGATATGCTAGAAGTACCTAAAGGTTGTCAGGCCGTCTGTTTTCTCACATTCCATTATTAAATTAAACACAACTTTCTCCGACACCCTTCTGTGCTGCTTTGGTGCTGTTGACACTAGTTACAGATTTTTACTAGGACCACGGCAAAACCCTAAGTCTGAGGCTCAGAAAAGAGCTAAGAAATGCAACAAAAGAGGAATGTCTTGAGTTTTTAACAGTTTTAAAATAAGCACATAGTAATATACCAGAGTAGGCAACTCCGGATGAAGAATAGCACTTGTATCAAGTTAGAAAGAATGTGAACTGAACTATTATTAATAAATCGCATAATTATACTCCTGTTTTGTAATCCCTATTTGCTTCAGCTACCTTAAATACTTTTCACCAGTGAAATTGTCAAAACGCTACGTCAGGTAGCTGCTGACACTACATTTATTTGAGATGTGAAAAGGGTAACAATCGTAGGAAACTACTCTCAGCGCTTTTAAATAAATTATAAGGAACAAAATGATTTTTCATGAAATGAGGGTCATGAATTGGACGTGAGTGTAGGAGAAGTTAGTTTACCTTTATCGCTCTTTGCACAATCAGTGGATGCATCGTGTGTGCACGATGGAGCCTGGTTTTCTTGATCTACCTTTAACGTCTCAGAACAGTTTCTGGTGTAGACGTTCTGGGTCAGCTTTGGAGAAGTTTTGGGCGAAGATTCAGGAAGTACTTTGTGTGGGCAAGGTAAATGGGTCCTTACAGCCTATAAAAATTCACATCACTTAATGTAAGACCCAATTCGTTTAATAAAGCTGCATTTGCTGATTCGAATTCAATCAGATTTCTGTGCAAATCAAATCTTACTGAAATTTACGTATAGCCCTAAAAGCCATAACAACCTCAAGAGTTACGAAAGGCATTTGAGTTTCTAAACCAATATCAGGAAATAACAAATTGAAGGTTTAGGGTTTGGTGCCCTTCTCTCTTAGCTGGGCTGATAGTGTCCACAAATTGCAGAAGCCGACGAAACGCCAAGGATTAGCTTGGGTGCAGTTGTAACTAAAAAGGCCATTCGAGTACTTCATGAATGCACACACAGAGAGAATCGAGTCCTTTGAGCTAAATTCTGCCTAAAGACTTGGTCCGTTAGTCATGGTGTGTAGAACTGATGGGATTTACTCAAATAAAGTTCTGCGAAATCATCAGTTGCTGACGCGGATTTCCTACCAGTGGCATAGCTTAAGCAACCACTTACAATTCCTAAAAGAAAAGTAATTGGAGATTAATACAAATGCTTTTACCTCCATTCGAAAAAAATAAAATCACGTCAAGAAGAAAAAACGTCAAAGTATATCTTGACTTTAAACTTTGGCTCGAATATTTGGCATAAAATCGTCAGATTCTATCAAGTCTGAGGTATTCTAAAATCTATACGTTAAATGATATTCCAATTTCTGGTTGTTTGATCATATCTACTAGGATTACCAGGTTCGACTTTCGACTATAATTCTGAGTAAATAAACTGGTAACGTCTTAAGTAATTGATAGTAAGCAATCTCACCTGTGAAACTAACTTGGAAATATTTTCAGACATTGGCGTTGATGCAGGAGTGGGAGGTTGACGCAGTGTTTGGCAGTAAACTGCGATAGACCGTCGTGTGGGTGATCTAGGCGGAGGACTGGTCTGGGAGCTGCGGGAACAGAGTTGGGTGCAGAAGCGTGGTTGGACGGCCACTGAGCGCCGCAAACGTCCGCTTCTACCACATTCAGGGGGACGAGTTTGGAGCGGTGGTTGAAGGGTCCCAGGTGCCTCCGTTTGGATGCTATCAAAAGAACGAAAAATACAATATGCTCATTGGGCTGACTTAAACACCTAATTTGAACTTGTAGAGAGGATAATAGGTAGACACAAGTTAGTATTACTGAAGGAATTCACCATTATCGCAGATGACTCGAGAAGGAGGTCTAGCGATCTAGTTGCAAAAATGGAAGCATAGTTTGTCCCATTTGAATTCAGCTAACCTCAACGATTAAGAGCGCAGATTTTCTGTGGCAGGCATGAAAACATAACTCTGTACAGTTCCATCTTATCTATTTAATCCTGTTAGCGAATTTAGTATGACACTTTAATGACAAATATGCCAATTAAAAGGCTGCAGTAAATGACACTCGTTCATCGAATTTACAATGTCATGTGAAAGATTTCAACTTGTGTCTGTTCAAGTATGGTGAATAACCGCCTACTTGGCTCAGGTGAAAATTTTGGTGAATAGAATGCTCCAGTCACCCATAATTTCTTGCCTAAGGCAATTGCAGCAAAGCCCTTAGTCAAAAGAGCGTCGTTTAGTCAGTGTTTGGTTTCGTCAAATTATCAGTGCTGGACATTAGCACTCCCTTCAAAATGTCATAACTGGGAAATCTTTCTGCCCATGTATTACAGGCCAAACAACACGCATGCCATAGTGTTGACCAATATCAGAAGGAATCATTCGTGAATGGTACTTGAAACATGATTTTTCTCACCATCTTACGCCACAAAAAGATAAAAATAAGAACTTCTGCCCACGTAATTCTTTCTTTTTTATTCTTTTTCCAAATTGGTTAGCCTAGGAAAACTTAATATATTATTAAGATCTAATATAACAAAACTTAAGAAAGATTGGGATGGAAGTAGTTTAAAGAGCCCAAGTAAGAGAGAACGAAGGCAACCTTTCGCATCTAACTGACACCACTGGATCACATTGGACTGCTGTTTCTCGAAGAACGATCCGCTGCGTCTCACTTTGCGAGGATGCAGACGTAGACAGTACTTGTAGGGTCGGATGATGAAGACAAACCCGTTGTTGTGCAGGCACACCCTGGGTGACTTCTTTCAGCACCGCACTGACCTAGTAAATGACGTATGAATGTGCAACAACGCTTCTATTCCCATGGACGGGCTCAACCGATGCAAATATTCCACCATGCAGACTGAACCAGGCGTAAATTGGTAAAAGAATAAGGCGAACCAAATCGTAGTTGATTAAAATATATTTTTTTTACGCTAAACCCGTTAAGAAAAACCTACGTACGTAGCTAGAGTGATTTCAAGCTTGACTTATAAATATAAAAACGTCTAAAGAAGTTTCGGTCTCATAATTACACTTTTAGATATCTAGTGAGTCAAAACGTTTGCCTAGAGTGCGGTGTTTATTAGCATTAGGTTTTTTCGACGGCAATAAATTGCCCTAAAACTTCCGTTCCGCACCTACTTGGTCATGAATGAAATAACTTACTTGAGCAGCGGACTTAGGATTAACTTTGCAATAAATAGGAGTTTCAGTATGTTTACAAGTTTTCGGGTTAGTGAAAGTAGTTTGTGGCATGGGTATGCATTCGCATGGCTGGATGCCAACGGAACCAGAATTGATTAAGGAAGAATCCTGCAAAGGAAACTGAGGAGTTGGATGGAGATGTAAGGGCTGCGAATCCCATCGACATGTTTGTCGTTCACAGGTTTCTTGATGGGCAGACGCCTCGAATGAGGAAAGCCAGGACGACGTTGTGATGCCAGGGGCAATCACGACACCACTTTCCATTTTCCTTCGTAGTCGCCACTGAGCAAGTATATCCCCCAATGAAGCCGCGTTTGCTAACTCTATGTTAAATGAGATATTTTGAGTTGGATCTTCAACTCAATAAATTAATGTATTCGTTCTATAATTTCAAATTCGGAAATTAAAGTCGCTGATACAGCTTTTGTAGGACCACAATGTCATCCAATAGGTAAGCCAGCCACTGACCGCCATTCAAGCGTTGAAGCGGCCTCGTGCCCTTATGTTAGACGTTCGCTGATGAGCGTACTTAAATATTTGTTTTTACGCTTATTTGATTTGCGTTGCAGGTTTAATCTTTGAATTCGTGAAATATCCTTATACTTCAGGAACGTAACGCAACACTTCCACCTTTCGTTTATGTCCTAAGAGGGGGTGGCATTTGGAAGCGACATAGTTATGATGGTATAAGAACCCGTATAAGGCAGGTAATTTGAGGCAAACAGTGCAAATGAAGATGAATATCTACCTTCGAACGATTCATTAGGAGGCAGGTCAACGAGTCCTATTTTCCTTTCGAGGTCGACCTTGTCTCGGGCCTTACCCTCTTCTTTAGACATTTTTATTTCACTAATTAGTAAAAATGAATTGATTAAGACACTTGACGTGTTTCATGTTACAGTAGAAAAAACTGTTATCAAGATGAGTGAGAATTTAAAGCACAAAAAAGGCTGTTATTAATAATGCCCATAATATTTCAATGAGGACATTAACAGGTATCATGTATCAAAATGTATTAAGTAAACAGTATAGGTAATTAAATAACAGAATTTACGAAAGAATTAACATTAAAAGAAATATGTATAAACCTTAAGTATAAAACAGACCACAAAGATGGCTCCTTCAGTGACGTCCCATCAGATTTCAAAGAATTGTGTTCGCTGGCAAAGTATGACGACAGCACTGATGTGAAGGTTTCTTTATCAGGAAATTCATCAAGTAGGTCGTCTTTAGGATCAAGAGTTAATACATCTGAAGTCGTATCAGAACATTTAAATGAGCAATTAGATAGCCGACTTGGATTTGTGCCTTCTGATTCTTCATTGCTATGACTAGATATTGGTGTAAGTCGATCACGGGGCAAAGGCGGACGGCTATCAGAAGCATAGACTCCCGCTTGTAGTTTTGGCTCGCTGTGGGGACCGCTAAGTTTCGAGCACTTTTTGACTACTTGCTCATTTGAAATCGACTTTCGGACGGCCATGACCAAACCCTGCAACTAAATATTAGAGAAAACAATGTCAAGTAAAAATTGCTTTAACCCCACAAACAACTTGGACTGCAATGATTGGTTAAAAAAAGCTTTTCCTTTCCACAGCATAATGTTTTCCCAAAGTAGTAGATAAAAAGATTATCACTGCTAAGTTCATGCCTACCATTTGCCCAATTTAGCATACAAAATGCCGTAGTCAGACTGGCAGAGCGGACGATTATTCATGCATGATATCCTTGGCCGTACATTTAATCAAAAGGCAAATTCTCCTGAAACTCGATATCACTATTAATCAAACTTTATTTACACATGTGTCCATTATTAAAATTTAAAACAATAATACTAACAAACAAAAGTATGCGGAAGTCGCTAATCAAAGTCATTTAGACTAGTCTCTGTAAGAATTCGTCAAAACTTTGGCCACAAATAAGGAATAAATCCTTTCATGTCTTGCAATAAATACACAAAACACCTGCCATAATATTCCGAAATCTCTCTTCTTATTCAACACGAAGATTATCCTATATACAAAAAGCCTAAGTCAAAACCATGTCATTTTAATGTACACAACTGCAATTAAAAATAATCTCAAATTTTTCAACCATATTCAATTTCAAAAAAACCTTAAATAATTATTTCACAAAAATGGAGTTGTAATTTTAGTAGCGAAAACTTGCATGGAGTTTAAACCTCCGCAAACTATTGTTGGAAGCTCATTGGTGGAAGTAATTTATCAAACAAACATTGTGAAAATCGTCAATTCAGAAATAGAAACCTGTTTGCTTTTAAAAATAAAAATTCATTACTGTGTAAAAATTCATAAAGTGTAACTTTGTTAAAGATTTATTGCTTCCTTATCTGACTTGATTAAAGACGAAAGAAAATCTGAAAATTCAGACGTCTTAAGAAAATTTTATACGTGAATGGTTTCGCTGATCTATGGTCAGCTAAATAAATTAAGAGGTATGGTTTTCAAAGAGCATTAGTTTCTGCTTCCACTATGTATAATTTTCGGGGTAGTTGGAGTTGACTCAACATCGAATTGGGCAAATAGTACTCTTATATTATTTACGGTAGCTTCATAAACATCTGGACTATTCACGTAAAGTCGATGCGAGAGTTTCAAAATAGTTAGCTGTCGAATGACGACAAAATTAATAGATTTTTAAAAGATTTATCTTACATTATATCTTTCAATATCTTGGGTATTTCGACATTCCCTCTTTATTAGTACACATTGCTCCATTTTTTCCATATTCTCGACAAATTGCTGTATAACGTTTGACTTGTAATATTTAATTACACTAGCAGCACTTAAAAAACCAAACTTTAGTTCGAATAACTGTAAAATTATTAAAATTTACTTTAATGTGTTATGAATCGTATTGTTCTGGGCTCCAGCATGTGGTCCTGAACCACGCCGGGGCCACGGGATTAACTCTGGCCTGATTACGCTTGCCTGATACCCGCGATGAAAGAAAAGGCCGGAGAGGACGTGGACACAACCGTTTACTTCAGAGATCAGCCACGTTGGTGTCGTTGTGTCGTGTGTGGTGTTTGCGCGTGTGTATTTATAGCTCGGATGTGTGAGTCATACATGCGCTAACATCGAGACCTATGTGTGGGGACACTCCAAGATAAATATTTGTGCTAATGAAAAAAGGAGTTGAAGATTCGAGAGGCTGGCCTCATGCTGCGACAAGGGGAACCCTGTGTAGGAGGTGGAGCGACCGGATTAGGAGGTTGAATAACCAGGATTCACGACAGTATTTACTCAAACTCCTTGATACGGTTGCTCCATCCTTCGACACAGGGTTCTCCTTTAGCAGCACGTCACCAGCCACGCGAACCCTTAACTCCGCCCTCATTCTCACAAATATTTATCTCAGATTATCCTCACACCTAGGTCTCGATGTTAGTGCATATATGACTCGCACATCTGAGGTATAAACACACACGCGCAAATGTCACCCACGACACGACGACACCAACGTGGCTGAGCCCTGAAATAAAAGGTTGTGTCGACGTACTCTTTGGTCTTTTTCTTCATCGTGGGAATCAGGGAAGCGTAATCGGACCAGGATTAATTCAGTGGCCCTGGCGTGGTTCAAGACCACATGCTGGGGCCGACAACAAATATTTACGGTTTTTAAATACACAATATCTTCGATAACTGCGAGGATGTAGCGAATTTTCTTTTAGAACCTTCAGTTTTGGGTTATTTAATGAAACAAAAAGAATTTACCTAAACGCTATTATTAATTATTTTTAATTGCCGCGTGGTCATTAATTCACCAAGAGCATCAGCACAACTTAGCTAGTTGTAGAAACCCCATTTCATTATTCATTCGACTACTTCAAATCTGTCTACTGCAAAAAAATTTGTAGCATTTGAGTAGGATATTTATTCGATATTATTTAGAACGACAAGACGAACTAGTTTCTACAGAACTAATCGACACTGTAATTATTATCTAACATGTGATGCCATAAAAGTGCTCCAATTTTGATTTATTTAAAAGCCTCAGTGAGATTTCAACTTCCAAAATATATTTTGCAACCGTAGTAAGTCGTACTATATCTTCACATAGTCACACACCACCAACTTTTTATGGCGTCTCTATTAGTCATCTGTTCATCCATTCTTTTCATGCACTTCCCCCACTTCTCTCTCCCACAACCTTGATATTCAATTGTTTGTACTTCTAAGTGTTCAGCTAAGCTTCTTCGACCAACAGTTCACTTATTTAAAAAAAAATTAAATGAACACACGACAACAGTATATCTTGGTTAAGACATCGAATAGATGGGGCAATTCACTATCTTTTCATCGCACTTCCTCCTTAAGAACGTCGTTTCGTACCCTGCCAACTGCTTATGAAACGAACGTTTTTCTTCCCTATTCATTTTTCTCTTATTCATCACAATAAATGAACTGATTTAAATTCTAAAAGTTCGTTTCTGTTAAAAAACGAATACAAAATCCTTTTCCTTATCCAATTAGTCTCAAACATAGCCCGACGTTCTTAAACCTCAAGTCTTTCTGCGAGTGATCAGATAATAATATTTTTGAGCACAATTAGTCCGCGAATTAACACTAATTTTCCCAGTAAATCCTTAGACGAGATAACACTAGTCAAATTACAGCAAAGGAAAAAAATATCGAAATAAGAAACCGTTCAGAGCTTAGGCTTTGTGTGACAAATGATTAATTGATATTAGAAAAAGTAGTAGAAAATGGTGTTTAAACTTAGACATGTGCCTCAAGTATATTGCTTTTCTTATGCTCAACATATTTTGAACTTAATCAATTTCTTCATAGCTGACCGACAAAAGTTGCCTGGAAACTACTATTTTGATTCAAAACGTATTTTCTCAAAGTGACGCGAAAATGGTTTATTTTCTAAGCTTTTTGTTTTTGGAAATAACTTCACTCTGATAAAACCTAGAAATTTATGGCTTGGAAACGTTTATCTGCATTTTCTTTTTGGTTTGAGCGCCATGTTTACAATAGAAATGTTTTTTTTGCTTCCAGATTTTTAGTTCACATTACTTTTAGTTTTATAATTTATTTAGTCAATAAAAAACATTTTTAAGACATTTTAGACGAAAAAAAAATTGTTGAAGTGTCTCTTTCAAGTAGAGACGTTGTTCACCAAACCCGTAAAACGCCAATCGAATTTTTCGGCCGAAATTTCAAATTACTAGACCTGCATTTAAAAATTACACAATATCCCCTGCTTCGTTGGTAAAACTTGTTTATTCTTGTTAATGTAACCGTTTACCGTAGAAGGGCTTGTCCAGCGCTTTATAACTATCACGTTTCGGTTGACCTTAGTTATTAACTTATTAGTATTTAACTTACATGCATTTTTAAGTTGTCCCCTATCAGTATCCTTTTCAATTCTACAGTCAATGAAGTGGCAAAGATAGGGATGTTAATAGTAAAGAGGTCACCTACCTATGTTAAATATGCTGCTTCTTTTAAATCACAAGCTCTAATCACCCATCTGATTTAGACTACTTGTCTTTCGTGAATAGCCGAAGTTGCTGTGTAATGCATTCTCATATTTAAACCATGAAGCATTTGATACCGAAACTGTACTCCAAAGAAGTATTTCATGTGCTAGCGTCCTGATTAAGAAATTCACTAAATACTTAGACGCATCAGTCACTATTGTTATTCTAAACTGCCCACACTGCTGTACTGTTTGCGTTAACATATACTTAACTTTATGTATTATTATATCTTATATGTCAAAATGTTCGTATCCAAAATATTAGGAAATTTGCAAATCCTCAGCTGAGACAAATAATGATAAGCGTACAGTCCCATCACGCAAACTA